TCAGGGCTGTGAGCGCACGTTGCCGGCTCATTTAAAGAGATTCTTTCAAAATTATACCATGCCAAAGGAAGACACAGCTGAAGATGCCAGCATGTATTCTAGAGCTCCACTTTTGCAAAGAAACTTCTTGTCAGGGTCCTCATCACTGCTCTTCGAACTAAAGTACAGCTCACAGACATGGCAGCAATGCATGACAAATGCCAGAAGACATGGCTACTGAGACATCTCCGCCCTATCAAGTCCTGCATTTTTTTATAACAAAGCATGAAACTACAGTGCAGTACTTCTGAAAGAAGAAAACCACCTATTAAAACCAAAATCCTCCAGTAACATCTCAGCTCTGCAATTGAAACACAGACAAGCAACATTATTTCAAAGCATACATAACAATCTTATTAGACAGACTACTGCTGGCAGCTACTGAATTTACAGCTACATATTTAAACGCTAAATAAGATTATCCCCGTGTTTGAAGGTATGCAGCCAGGGTAGATGTGGATGAAACAAAGAGACCAATTGCACTACGAAGTGCCAAACCCTTACCTGCCTTCTTTGCTGTCAGTGAACCATCTCTGTTGATGACCACATCCGAACTACTCATCATGAGTAAGCTCTGTCCGGACAGGATACTTCCCAACAGATCAGGCACAGGGGCGGCTTCTGCTTCTTGCTCAGGACTCAAGGCAGGCACACTGCTTCTGCATGTTTCAGAGGGGTTATATTTCCTTTACTCTTACAGCACTTGTTCTATACACACACATTACATTAAAAAGAAACCAAAATCAAGGGCGTAAACAGAGGTCAGCCAGGGAAGTTCACTTGTAGTTTTGGCTTCACTAGAGTCATTCAGTCCCCATCTCCCTCTGACAAACAGAAGGTGAAGCTTTTATTGACTTCCCACAGGAACAACACAGGATAGCAAAGGACACAATCATACCAGAGCCCTTTGGTAATTTTTAAATTTAAATATTAAAATAGTACGTTTTAATTTCAATTTTATTTAAAAGAGTGGTGCTCACTGTGTTGTTCATCAAGATTAACTTCTGAGTGCATTTAAGACACATTTTTGAAGCATAAACCATTGTTCAGCACTTCAGAGATATTTCCATCCCAGCTGCCTCTCTTCCCCCCACCAAATCATGATCACAAATGTATTCCTCAGGCCTACACTGCTATATAAAAAAAATTATTTCAGTGCAATAGTTAGAGCTATTATGAAAGAATTAGTGTGTGTCCCTCAACATAAAACAAATTCTTGCAGAAAATGTGCTTATTTCTCTACACATGTGCAGGCACGTGCACTCACTCACCCTTTCAAAACACTCATGGTAAGAAATTAGTTAAACTGGGATGATCACCCCGTTTGCTCTTTTGTTAGGGTCATTAGACAATTAACAAAAATAAGTAACTGGATACATTTTTACCTGGGAAGACCCACAGAAATAGGTCTAGCTACAGGACGGTGAGACCTCAGCGCCGACTGGGAGAGAACTCTCCTTTTAGCACTCACTGGTGAATCGGGATTTGCTGGAACCTCTTCGTTACTGTGGGCAAAACACACACACAAACCATGAAATTGTCTGAATGTTCTTCACGTCAAATAGATGAAGTAGATAATACTCCTAGTACAGATATGGTTAGAGAGCATTGTCTGTTTTATTATGATACATAAGAGACGTGCAATGTATTTATTTTCTGTGGCTACATAAATAGAACAGCATAACTCAGCCAACAGAGATTCAAATGTAGATTTTTATTTTTAAAATATTAAATGGGTGATTTCCTTTTATGAAAGGATCAAAAAGACTTTATTCAGTGGAAAATTAAATTTCACCAACAATAGTTTCAGATGCCTCCTCCCCAAAATCCAAAGCTTAAGAGTGATCAAACTACGGCAGTAAGATTCCTCCTGAATTTAAAGTGTTTGGAAAAGTGAAGGTGGGAAAAGGAAAAAACATGGAAGACTCCACAAGTTCATTTAATTCTATGTGAAGTCGCTGTTTATTGTATACCAATACTGTGTACCAAACACAGTAGCTTAAAATAAATAAATAGAAAATGACTGATTAGGATCCAGCTCCTTCAGATTCTAGCCTTTGAATAACCCCATAGATATTAAAGGTTTTCATGAGGCTCATTATTTCAGCCAACCTCTTTAAAGAAGCCTGATTCTTTAAGAGCTCAGCAACTCAGCCAAGAAGGAAAGAAAGAACAGGCCAGTGTGTTATGAGCCGTGTATCCCAAGCTTGTCTTCAGATGCAAGATCTTACACTTGGCAAAAAGCCACGTGTACAAACAACCCGATACTTGTGAAATTATCAGATCCCCGATCACAGCCCAGAGATATCTTACCTTTCATAAGGATCCAACTCATAGGGATCTCCAAACACAGACAGAGAAGCTGCACCGATATCTGCTCTCATCAGCCCGAGCGAGGGCTCTGTGGGTTTGTACATGGAAGGAAGCAAGGCCCCACGCACAGGTTTACTAAGACCAAGAGTTCTTGCAATTCGGGAGCGAGTCGTAACCTCATTTTTCACCTGCACAGATAAAGAGATTGTGCTATTTGAATGTTGGGGCAGGTACACACCCTGGGTTTAAAGCTCCTCATACTTCACTTAGGCTAAATACACTCATCAGGTTACTACCATCTGCAGTAGAAGTGGGGTGCTTTAATTATTTAATATTTAATAATTAAAATATTTAATTATTAAAAACTTTTAACTATAGCCTGCACATCACGTCATATAGAGATCACACACATCAGATTTAAGTGACGAGGCAAGTTAAGTTTCTAAAAATCTTTAATAATGTCATTCAAAATTGTCAATTCCTTATCAAAGGCTGGAGGGACAGTTCTTGCTGCAGGATGTAAACTCTAGTTAAGGCAGCTGAGGACAAAAGTGAAGCTAGTGCAGAATACTCAGTATAGTTCACATGAGAACACTACCCACAACTGAAAGGGATTTTGAGAGCCCTTACGGCTGATTAACTTGGTTTGCAACAACACAGACACAAACATCCAGAGCCTGTTAAAAAGAAGAGGTGATGGTAATTTTAAATGAGCTTGCTTCAGTACCGAGTAAACACCACAGCTGACTGGCAAGGCAGAGCACAGCCTGCACGACACGCTCTGAGGTGTGATCCCTGCTGTTCAGGTCACAGGATTTGTCTGCAAACCCAGCAGGCCTGCCTAGAAGTTCCAACTCCTTTCCATGTACAACTTCTTTCTGGAGTACATTGCACACATCCTGCATGTATTCCCACCAGAAGAGTTATCTGCTATCACTATAAGGCAGTATTTTTTCCATTGAATCCTATGTTATAGGGCTTTTGGTAGACACTGACACTGGCAGAAACTCACATGTGATCTTCCTCTCCTCTTCTTCCCTCTTCTCTTCTTTACCAGACGCTTGCGTCTCTTCAGCTGTGTCCCTGCGTTCTTCCTCCCAGCAGAAGACTTTGTCTGAGTTCTTTTTTTGCCTCCTACTTTCTTCCTCCTACCTGATGGGACAAAAGACAACCACGTTATCTGGCTAAATGCTGGCACTGCATTTTACCTGGTACTCTCCTTTTCACTCCCCCATGGCACACAAAGCAGCTCAAAGAGCCCTACAGTGCACTGCAACAGAATAAAACAGCAGAGCAGAAAAAGTGAAATCATTAGGATTTCTTTAAAAGCAACTTTCAAGACATTTCGGGGCAGAGGCAGAATGGGGAAAATAGAAAATGTAAGAAAACTTCTGGAGCTGCACAGGTGAGCAGCATACAGCTGATCTAGGGTATTTTGAGTGATTCAGGCTTATCCTCCCACAGCTTTCATTCCTGCAGATGGGAACTACAGAAGGTGTCCGATGCCCTTACCTGTTTTCCTTTTCTGCCTAGCAGGAGCCCGGGGCGTAAGGGGACGCTGGTAGACGGCTGTGTTTAGGCCTGCTACAACTGCCTCGATTGTTTCATCCAGAAGGGAGGACATGAGGTACCTCGGCACGTGCTGCTTGAGGGATTAGAAGTTACAACGTCAGTAACAAGTTAGTTATAAAAACGTTTGATGAAAAATTGACTTGAGATTTGAATGCGAAGCATTCGTGTCACCAAGCTGCCAGTTAAGCAATTATGTCACCTTCCTGACTTATTGACTGTCATATTAAGGAGAGCATGACCTTGCTCTTCAGCCTCCCTTAGTATTACAAGTCATGGCTAGCCTAACTCTGAGTCTTTAAATGAGAACAATCCCTGAGACTGACACTTCCCCAGTGACAAGTTCACTTCAGAACTCTCCCAACTCCACCTAACTGACCTCTGGCTCATCACGCAGCAAAATGTGATGAGTAAAGAATGAAAAGCCACACAGTACAGGTCCCCTGTCTTAAACTCCTCATCCTTTAGGTCAGCTTTACCTAACACTGTGAAACATGTCCAGAGGCAGCCTCTCAAACACACATCTCAGGGAAATCACTGAAATGGCAGGTTGAGTCCCCCCTCCAAAGCACCACTTCATCACAGTAAGCAGGGGCTGTTCCCACAAGGTTCAAATTCCTCTTCCTCTCTATACTCAAGGCTCAACCACATTTAAACAAACACATTTGAATCACATGGATTCTAAACCATCAGCCTCAGAATGTGAACTCAAAGCCTCCTTGCTGGGCAAATGTAGCACAGGTTTGATCCTTCCCTTGAATGCAAAGACGTTAAGAGCAGGATTCTCTCAACAGCTACGTTAAGTTGGCCATGCCCACACCATCCACATTCCTAAAATGCCATAGAATGGTCCCAGTCATTAAGGACAAGGAACGGCTGGAGAGTCCAGCACAGAGCCACCAAGATGATGAAGTGGAGCATCTCCCTGATGAGGAAAGGCTGAGGGAGCTGGGGCTCTTTAGCTTGGAGAAGAGGAGACTGAGGGGTGACCTCATTAATGT